AATGTTAACTTTAATACTAGATCAATGTTGCTACATACTGGCAATATTAAAATATTAAACTGCTACCTATATTTTTTTAGTATTTACAAATTTACTACTAATAATCTACTCTAGAAAGATCAGCGTTCTATAGTTGGAAGTAATGTATTCAGGTAAAGCTGCTATTTCTTTTTACAAGTGTAACATTAACATATATGTTGGTGCAAAAATACTAATACAAAGAACAAGGAATAAAACAGAAAAGTACAAACAAAGAATACTTGATTGAAGGACAGCTATGCCAAGTAGAATACCAGATATACAAGTTTTCCTCAATGGAAAACACCAACTTGATGTCATGTGAGGTGAGTGAAGCAATAGTTATCTTTAGAATTTATCTGTTGCTCAAAGTTCCCCTGGGTTTTCACCCAGACCCTTCTAAGTTGAACTGGTAAGCGCCTTATACTTTAGACATGTAAATATGAGTCTTTACTGTAAGGTGTAAACACACTGCTCTGTTTCCCAAAAATGAGTCTTATAGTCCATACAAAGGTAATAATATATGTCTATGTGAAAGAGCAAATCAAAGTGCCTAAAATCTGCACATTTACAAATTGCCATTATAGTGGAGCACATAAACTTACGGCTTTTTGCTGCTGAGTTTAAAACTATGCCTGTAGAAAAGGGAGGATAACAAAACACCCTGAAATCATCAAACTTTTCTTTTTTAGATCCTGGTACTTCCAAATTCACTAATTCTTTTATGAAAAGAGGAGCATCCATTCGTCGGAGTCTGAAAATGGTTACTAAGAAGGATACTGATAAAGTCTCCACTAAGTCCATCTCTGAGGCCTCAGTGGAGGAAGACATGGAGGAGAAAGAGGAGGAGGAGGTTCTTAGAGAAGAGATCGAAGATTGCTACGTACTGCCAAGTATCCCCCTCACACCACTGTCAGGTACAGTCTCCACTACATGTTCACGTTGGTTTAAATTGACTGTGACTTCATATAGCACATTTTTAACTGTAACAATTTTTCCACCTACAAGTGAAAAGGCAGAATAGCACCGTGTCTCGAATGTCCCCTAACATGTTTTCTGTGTATACATGCCACGCTGTAGTCTGGATCTGTCTCTTTACTGTTTGTTTTCGCAACAGACAAAGCCAATGATAAGAGCTTCCTTTGTCATGTAAATAACAGAGGGTCAGTTTATCTGTAGACACAGTTTCAAATCCAGTCTCATAAATGGGACACTGGTTTAGCTGTTAAAAAACAGTGATGGTGGCATCTTCTACTCTTAAGAATAAGTTGATGGATTTAAGAGAATTAAAATCTCTTTCTTATTTAGGGACTCTATGAAAATGATTGACAAGCTCGTTAACTATTATAATGCTGTAACACCAGCAACATCAACTTCCTTGCTTCCCTGAAAACCAGGATGGTCTCTTTTACCTGCCCTGCCCCATGGTTCACTATGAAATGCTGTTCCCTACCACCAGCCATCGACTTGAAAGGCTCGACAAAAGATCTGGTCCTACTGTCCACCTAGAGGCTAATAAAGATCATGTAAGGTCTTATAATATAAAGAAAAAGTTAACTTTCTCTATCAGCACCTTCAAGATTTATCCAGGCCTTTATGACTTTAATAACCTCCTGCAGTTTAACTATCTGGTATGTGTTATCTGATTTCATGGATAGATACAGTTAGGTATCATCTGCATAGGAGTGAAAATGATATTCTAACAATACTGCCTGGGAATGATGTATAACAGATTGAGTCCCAGCACAGAACCCTGCGGAACTCCATAATTAGCCTTTGTGAAGAAGACTGCATAAACAAACTGGAGTCTATTAGACATGATTCAGTCGACTGCAGTGCAGTATCTTTAATACCTATGGCATGCTGTAGTAAAATGTTATGGTCGAGAGTATTGAACCCTTCACTGAGGTCTAGCAGGACAAATACAGAGATGTGTCTGCTGCCAGAAACCAAAATGATGAACCTTGTCCTGCGTGTCACTTGAAGATTCAGCTTTTTAGATCCAATTAAAAAATAAAACCACTCACAAAAGATTGTCTGGAGAAAGCAGAATGTGTTGAAACAAAGTCTATCAGGCTTCTACAACAAGAGCAGAGTCATATAAAAATCAAAACAGAGCAGCGAAATAACACAAATTAAAGCAACATAAGGGCGAAGAGCCTTAAGCACATCCACAAAAGGCAAGGTGATAGGGTAACAGAGAGATAGAGACGTAATTTAAAGAAACAAAGAGAAAAGAAGTAACAGAAAGAGAGAAAAATAAAGCAAGGGGCACAAGAGACAAAGAAAAAAAGAGAAATATAAAAGAGAGTGGCAAAATGAAGAGAAAGGGACATGGACCCCCTATTGATCCTCTACTTAATCACACAAGCCAAGGTGTGAAAGTAGAGGATCAATAGGGGTCCATGTCCCTCTTTGGGGACACTCCCATAGGGCTTAAATCTGGGACTCTCCACCATTTGACCCTTAAACTGAAGAAGCTTCTCAGATGAGAGGTGGAACGTCTTCAAGCAACTTAAAAAAGTCCCGACGCTTTTCTTTCCAAGCTCCTTAGACTACGATGACCTGGATGACTGAGAACCTTCACAGACATTTCTTTATAATTTCTCAGTAACCTTAAAACCCATTAATCTCATGAAGAACCTTCAAAGTCATAATTTTTCACATCAAACGTGTAGAATCAATGATTACCTCCAAAGCACAGCATAGCTATGGTAATGGCATATTTAGTTAGTAAACATAGCTTACTACAGATAGCATAACTGACTACTACCTAAAAATGACTTCAGTATATAAACAAAACACTTAATATATTAATTATCTAAATATATAATAAAATGATTACTTATTCTAAAACACATTGCCTCCAATTTAAGAAAAAAGACTTTAGACATTTAAAATTAATTCAGATATTTCAACATTATTTAATTTCATTGGTATGCAAGTGTGCCAGGATACTGTACCAGCAGCTGAAATTGCAATTTGCAACAGCCTTCTTTGCTAGCCTATAGCAGGAGACCAATTCCAACTCACCATCTCCACAAAAGCTGCAGGTAGGTTTCATTACAGGGTAAAATTAAAGATCTTTGATGTTACTGAACTTTTACTTTATTAACTTTTGCTGTTTAACTATGATATCCAGTAAAAATGAGCAGTAATCCTATTTTACAAGGATTATACCGTAAATCTAAAATTAAATTCTTTGACATCAAGCAGCATCAAGCCAGTGTAACGATGTGACACCTGATGTGATGAATTGTTCTGGATTTGCTGTTTCTGAATGAGCTGCAATAAGTCTACTGAAGTTTGGCTTTTTTTGCTGCGTTTATGTTGACTGGAGCAGCACTACACTCTGATTTCTACCATTGTGGTTTCATAATGAGACATAACTGATTACAGGAGCTCTGTTAAGCCCTTGGTGATACGATTACTTCTGCTTGCTCACAGTGATGGAGATCAACAAACTGATAGAGACGGGGGAGCTGGAGGAGGCTCACCTGAACCTGCTCGCCCTGCGGCAGGAGTTTCAGCAGCAGCCAGAGTCGTGCTCCGATGGCTCAGCTATGGAGCTGGCCACGAGGGAAAAAGACCTCAACCTCCTCTATGGAACAATGAGGAAAAAGGTCAGCGACATAGTGTGCGACCCTCTCTCCGACAAAAACAAGAAGCTGCTGCTCCAAATGGCCCGCGTCATCCAGGAGGAAGAGAAGAGATTAAGAGAACCAGGAGGCCTGAAAGACAGCTGGATGGAGGCTTGGAGGGAATCGGTTAGTGCGGGTGTGCAGGTGAAGGTGCAGAGCGTTCACTTAGACAGAGTAGAGCAGAACTCCGCCTGGTTAGCTGTTCACTTGGGTCTGTTGGGTAAAGTCATTGTGGAGGACTTGGAGAATGTGAAGCAGGAACTGCGGTGGTCCTACCCACCCAGTTTTAAAGTCTTCAGCACTTATGTGAGAGGTTATAACAGAGTCGTTGCACAGCACCTGAAGAAGCTGGAGCAGCAGGTGACGGAGCTGAAGGATTTCTATGGTCTGCTGGACTGGATCATCAACAAGTACAAGAGGTGAGTGGGTAGATTGTTCAAATAGGGCTGTTGTATGTTGTGCATTATATTTCACTTTTTAGAATGATGTTAAACAGTATTTACTATTTATTGTGGTGTGATCACAAAAACTGGCATGCAGTTACTTATTGTAATGTAGTTTTGTAATGTAATTTCTAACTCTGACGCTGTACAGCTTCAAAAGCGTTCAGTCGTCTTTGTCCAACATGACATTTGTCATTAGCCTTGCAAACATAGTTTGTTGAAAGCAGCTACAAAATTGAAATTAACCCTATAAACAATCGTTATGCATCATTTTAGCCAGTCACACATTGCACTGTTGACAGACCGTACTCTGCCAAGAAGATTTTATTTTGGTAGCATTTGTCTGTCATTCTTACTGTACTTACTTACTTACTGCGATCATGTTAACGATCCATTAAAATTTGGCATACATCCACTTTCAAAGTCAAGTTAATGATTTATTGGTGGAAAATTGACAAAGAGCCTTAAAATTTAAAAACTATGATCTCACATGTATATGTATTGTCAACATATAGAAAATAATGTATAAAGATTTTAAATATCATGTCACATTTGACCTCTGACCTCTCCTTTAAGGCCAATTGATAGGCCAAAGTGATAATAATGCTATATAGATTTATTTAAAACTATGTTTTCTTTTTATTATTAAATTTAAAAAAAAACTTAAAGTCATTGTTTCAATAAAGCTCTAGATCTGTTGTCGAAAAAGGACAAGCAGCAAAAGTGGTCAGATGATGGGCACATTTCCTGTCATGGTTCTCTGTGTGGCAGGCAGTGATTGGACCCAAACGCAGGACTCTCAGATGGTATATTTAACTTAAAGGCAGCAGCATTTATTTGCAAAACAAACTGAAAAACACAATGCACGAGCACTACAAATAAAATTAAAACTCAAACTAGGATGACTGACCTAAACTGAGAGTTCATGGCACGGCATGACATAACCTGACTTGACTAAGAACTGTAAATAGAACTGAAACCAGCAGCCTAGAAATGATAACTAATGAATTCAAAAGACTATATAATAATTCAAAATACAAAACACTGGGGCATCGACCCAGGACCGTGACATATCCAGTAAGTGCACAACCCATCCTACCACAAATTAAAAGAGCTTTTTTTAAAAATATGTTACATATTAAAATGCTTTTTTATTTGATGATTGCAGCCAGTAAAAAAAAAATCACCAGCATTGTGTTTCCTCAGGTTTGAAACCTAGAAAACTGTGAAAAACTTGTGGTGTTGCATCTGAAAGCTGTGGGTGTTTGTTGGGCAGTGAAGGTCAGAAAAGCTCAGCTCTACAAGTCTTCATATTTCAGTAACTCTGCCTCTGCTGCTGTGATTTAGGCTATTCTTTATAGTTTTTTATGAATCTCCCATCATTACGTTAGTATGGTGAAGAGAATAAGTGAATTCAGGTGTTTTTTAGAATATACACAGAATACAGAACATGTATTTTGTGATTTAAATTGAATTCAGATAGCCTTTGTAATGATTGCATACAGCAAACAGAGACAGATGATATGCAATAAACTCCTCAGTCGGATTCTTTGAAGGCGTGATGTGTTATGCAAACATTATAAAAGGGAAAAGTGTGTCTGCATGTCCTCCTGCAGCTTTTTTATCATCTCAGATTTACAGGGGGAAGGCACCTAAAACCACATCTTCACTGTCCACATAAAAATGTGTTCACATATGGTGCAGACAGCCGTTTTAATAATACCCAACACAAAAGCAGGACTGCAGCTCCACAGTGAGCGTGAGTGAGGTAGGCAGTGCTGACATTATTTGTCGAATCAGGGCATGGGAAACATAAAAAAAACCTGTGCTCAGAACAACATTTGGGAGACCAAAAATAAACAGCTGATCTGATAAAAAGAAGCACAACACTCTCGAGGCCAAAATGGGAAAAATAAAATCAGGTCACGACCACATTTTTCACAGATTATGTAAAATAGGATCCTCTTCATAAAGCATAGCACAGACCATAATGTAACATGGTTTTCATAAAGCAAATACACTCATTCAATATTGCATTACAGTGTGCAAAGGATGTATTTAATATGAATATGTATGTATTTAATTGGATTTTATTTTAGAATTTTTTAAACATTTTAATTTCAGTTTCCTTCATACAACATCACAGGTAGGAAAATGTATTTTGGCCGATCATAGTACCACAAAATGTTGTGAACTGCATCTTGTTTCACTCCAACAGTGAGAGGATCATGGGAAGTCTGTCTCTGCAGCCAGACATCCAAGATGAAAGCACTGATCTGCAGCTTGAGGAGAACTTCCTGAAACAAGTGAAAGAGAAGTACTGCAGGAGAATGCAGGTGAGGTGCTCACACTGAGCTCACAACATACAGACTTTTAAATGTGTTTCTTGTTGGAATTTCTTCCATAGATGAAATTTTAGTCTTTCATATTGTTATTCTTTGTGTAATTATGAGAATGAGTTGAATCAAAAGACCATTGAGATATTATGAAGCACACACTTCATTACTATATGTCTTTATTATGCCTCACTTTAAGAATAATGTCACGTTAAAAGATCTGCTAACTGGTTTCGTGACTTTCATGACCTAAACTGAGCTGACTTGACATGAATCAATTGTGTATAATTGATTCGTTGGTTTGTGGATTACCATTTGTGTTTGCTTTAGCTGTCTTGGCTTTTATGACCTGGGTAGAACTTCTGAAGGGTTAGGGTGGATGTGTGGATAGATGGATGGATTGGTGGATGAATGGAAACCATGGAAAGAGAGGTTAGGCTGAAAACGAATGCTAGCTAGCTGGGTTAGCATAGTGAGCCCGTACACACAGACTCAGATACCAAATTATCAATTACGTAGATATAGATACCTAATTAGTGCTAGCATATACATTCAGCAAGATAGTACACTGAAAAAAACCCACATAAAATCCATCACACTCACAAACCAGTGTGTGATGTCACAGTAGCTAAGTGGCCATCAAGTGGTTATTTATAGAAATGCAGTTTTTGCTAAATGGCTTGCACATGTGAAGGAACACAAGGTGTCTGTCGCTAGGTATTTTCTGCTGTTGTTTTCTTCTAAAATTGAATAATTTGGGGGAATATGCATTAAAAGTCTAAATATTTAAAGAGAGATTGTTTTGAAGAAATGTAACAGAGTACTATCAATCTGTCTACATGCCAGATAGCCTCTCAGTAATGGTGGGATAAGTTGCAGTAAACCTCCAACATTCAATCAGATTAGAAGTTTAGTGATTAACTTGGTTACATGATGTCAGTGACTACAGGCCAGAGGTTTGTTTGGTTTTATTGCTTTCACATTCATGCCATAAAACACATTTACAGTTTGAGCACATTGATGTTGAACCAGCTACAATCTTGCCTTCAGAATAACATCAGGTCAGGTGACTGTTAATGTGACAGAGGTCACTAACACTCATGGTAACAACCTCCCAGAGAATAAAGACCTCAGTCTGCAGCTCTGTTTCAGGAGTATTGGAGAAAGCATATCCTCTGATAATTAACCCATCTACACAGTGAAGATGTCAATCATCTGTGATGTAGTTGCAAGTTTTTAGTTCACAGTCTGATGCACAGTACTGTTAAACTTCCAGTTAAAGACACATAAAACAATAAAACGTTGGTAGGAATCAAGCAGTTTCTTCAACAGATTGTTTAAAATCATTAACCAAGTTGCCTCGATCACAACTTAGTCACATAACCAAAACATGAGTATACAACATAGTACAACAAAAGCCTTTGATTTATTTTCTCGAAGTGCGTCAAACCCATTGACATGGTAATAAAACAAGATCACAGATAACTGAGCACATTATCAGTGTAAGGTTTTCTTACCATTTTCTTGATTGATTTTTATGTTACTGAAAAAACATATTCCTTGCTTATTGTATTTAACAGTTTTTTTTTACTAGTGAAAAACACAAAGATATTCACTGTACTTGCATATAAGAAACGAAAATACTCAAAGCATCAGTTTTGATGCAGCAAATGTTTGACTAATGGTTTCATTTCTGATATAGTTCTCAGAAGAGATGTTGCCACGGGTTGCTGAAACAGCTGTTTTGCTTGCACTTTAATGCTGACTTCCGCTCTGCTTGGCTCTTCCTGCAGGAGGAACTGAGAATGATACAGGGCAGAGTCATTGAACTTGAAAATGAAGAGGTGTGGAAGGATGGCAAGGCTCCAAAAAAGGAGGACAACTTCCCCATTTCTTCATTTCCCATTGACATCCTAACGGTACTTATTGAAATATCACATAATGCACATAATGGGTACATGCTAAACACATCAAACCCATCAGATACAGATAAAATCTCACATTTATTTATTTAAATTAGTGAAGATTACTTTGCCAACAGATTTTATTTTGTAATCCTCCAGGCTGCAATGTAGTGTTTTCACCATAGGGTGGCAGCACATAACTTCTGTTTCCTTACACTGCGTACCAGCTGTTTTTTCCTCAACAGAGCGTGAAATCGTTTGTTTTAAACTCCATCAAACTTGATGCTCAGCTGGAAAAGAAAGTGGTTTCTTCCTGCCTCGAGGAGTTGAAACAGTTCCCAAATGGGTATGGCAACACAGAGACAACACATCTATCTATCCATCTGTCATAGACATTTAACAGGCCACGTTACCACAGGAATCTCAGTGGAAAAATTTCACTCCACCCTCCTGGAAGCAAGCTGATTTTACTCTTATCTTAGTGGCTTCGAAATAAACTCCAGATTACAATTTCTTATGATGGCGTGTTGTAAACTGAGGATCATTTCTTGTGACTGAGCACAGGCATTAAAGTGAGTCACAAATATATAGATGGTTTTCTGTCTGATTACCATGACATGTAGTGCAGATGTTGTGTAAATCCATGTCTTTGATCAGTGGTGGCATTTTCAATCATTCTGGTAGAGTTTTTCTGGAACTTTGGTCGCTATTCTGACTCTTCTCATTAAAATGAAAAGTACCATGAAAATTCAAAACTCTTCATTTCTTTGGAAGTGAACAAAGTTCCAAATTCAGCAAGGGATCAACCACTTATTTCCCCCACTGTACACATGGCGAGGGTGGGATCAAAGGTATTATGGCCACAACAAGAGAACAGCGAAAACAACTGCATTAAAATAACTTGTGATAAAGAACTGAGATGAGGAAGAGGAAAGCATCCACCTAAAAAAGCAAACAAATGAAAAATCATGACGCTGACCTTTTTGCAGTGATCAGACAGTAATGTTATGTTATGTTGAGCAATACAAGAATATTCCCCTCGATTGGTCAGACAATCCTCTGAGGATCATGTGTTTGTCCCCATCCCACACAGTGTGTATAAGCAATCTCCCTCCTCCATCTTCCCCTGCAGACATTCTACCCAAAATATAGCAGAAAAGAAACAAAACATAATCAAAATAAAGGATTATACACCAGAATTAATCAGTGAAAAGGAAATAACAAGACTCCCACACAAAACACAAGCGCTGTCATGCTGAAACAGAAAAGACCTTTTATTTACTTGGAGCTGCGAAGCTGATGGAAAACTTTCTGCATCGTGCAGCTATGACTTTTCAGCCTTTCTGCAAATCCCCCTAGTGTATTTATGATTAATAAATAACCTTTCTTTACACTTTTGCACATTTTAACAACACTTCTTATGCATTCATTATTTTAAACATCACTTTTTCCTGTTATCTTTCCATCCCCCTTGGAGGGTGTCTGTTTCCTATAAAGTCTATAACTTTGCTTTACAACAAAATGTCACAAAATGTTATTATTTTTAAACCCCTGTTATTTATCTGGCTTGTTTAACTCTGTCCGCCTCATCTTTTGACTGAAGCTTCTTCTTTCCTCTGCAGGTTTGAAAAAGCGTTCAGCCAGCATTGCACCTCTCACCAGCCTTTGTGGACAGAGTATCGCATTACATACATTAACAGCTTTACTTCTTTAAAGTAAGTCACGTGACTTCCTGAAAACATCCACGAATGCCCTGCCAGAGTTAGCATGTCGTGACACGGTTATCTAGTGGGTTCACGCCACATTTTTTCCCCCCAATAAATCTGTCAGCACATTCATCTCGTGTGAATTTAGAGACAGGATGGATTTATGAGCAATTTTAATTAAAAAAAATACACCAGAGTGCTATTTAGTCCCGATTTTTTGATTAAAAAAAAAAAGCATGCAAAATCAAAGAGAATGAAAGGTATATTACCTAAAGTCAGAAAAAGCATTACAATTTATCTCAAGAAAACCAAAAGTGTGACGAACGTGACTGCCAGTAGGTTCTGAATATGTATTACCCATCCTCTGAAAACAATATGTGTATTGTTCATTGTAACAAAGCAGTTTAATGTTTATAACAGAGAATCTATTCTGTCATTCTCTTTATTCAAGTTTTTGAAATGAATCAAAAAAATCGAATGTGCAGACTTGAGCGGAAGTTCATGGTTGTCTTTTGCTTGGATGAGTCATCTCGCAGATATTCACCTCTGACATATGTCTGCCGGGACAGTAATTCTGTTGTGTGCCACGACTGCTAAGTCTCACAAGTGTGGGAGTTCTTTGGATGGGACAGCAGAGGCTTTTATATGCCAGAGCAAAAAGAGATCCACTCAGACATAAATACAAGCCTTAGAGAGCACGTGATTTCAGAGAAGCAGGGCTCTGAATGTGAAACGCTGCTGTGGTATAATCGGGAGAAAGAGAAAGTACTGCGGGCACACCAGCTGCTTCTGTCACTCGCTGTGCTGGTTAGCTCAGTTTCTGCAGGGATATTTAATCAAGGTTCTAACACTTTATATTTATAGCTGCAGGCGTAGCTGCAGGTTAAACCTAGAGCCTATCCTAGCTTCCATAGGGCACGATGTGGGGTATACCCTGGACAGATTGGCTATCTGTTCAGGGCGTATTTTCATGCTTAGTTCAAGTTTTTGCTATCATTTTGGTTAGCTGGGCTTTGCTTGATTTAATTACTGCTATCTCTTTTGTTACTGGTCCTGCTGTGTTCATGTTTCTCCTGTCACCGCCTGTTTCTTTCCATATATGTACATGGAAGGACTGGGAAGGGAAATAGATGTAGTGCTAAAGTCTGTCTGGGAAATCTCATCAGACCTTTTGTTATGTTTAAACTAGAAAAGCCCTTCAGTATTCCTGTTTGAAAGCTTGATTCAGTACACACACTTTTCCTGCCTGTAGTGCCAGGGAAAACACAAGGAAGTCTAGAAATATGCAGGGAACTGGAGACACATTAAGGGAAAAGACACACCGTGTCTGCCTTTGATAAAGTTAATTAAAACAACAAACAAAAAATAATAATTCAGCTCCACTGTATTGAGTTTTCTGCAGGAAGTTTAGGAGACGGCTTAATCAAAATGCCTAAACAGGCTAAAACAACAGTGAATAGCAGCGATAAAAAGACCTGATAGGACCACATTCAACATGTTACTGAAATAAAAGCAAACGTCATATTGGCAGAGGTGTCCTCATTCTGCAGAGAATTCAGTCTGAGAATTCAGATCCTGGTGATATATAGAGTCTGTAAAAAGAGGAGGTTAGGATGAATGGCAAAAACCGCCCTAAAAAACACAGACGATAGAACCAAAGCCTGATCACACAATGGCTCCCTGGGCTTTCACATCATTATCATCATTGTAACCATGATTGTCGTCACCGTGCTGATGCCTTAGATCCATCAGATGAGTTTAAATCTCACTGAGGTCGAAATCGAGGTCATAGTTTTCTGGAAATCTTGTAAATCCAAAGAATGACGTCACCTGGGATGTTCACACTTACAGGTACATCTGTTAGGAAGCTGAGGGGGTAGCAACTCTGTAGATAACCCTCTCAGGACACGCCAACTCTTGCAGAGTATTAAACAGGGAATGGGAAAAATAAAAAACAAAATATAAATAAAGATACACCAACCCTACCCTGTAAAAAACATGCGAGTTATTTAAATGAATTGAGATGTGAAGTGCGAAGAGAAATATATCTCACAGTTTGCCCCAAAGTGCTTCATTAAAAAACAAAAAGTGTGGAAAAATCGATTAAAAAACTGTAATTTTGAAAACACGTGTAACTTGTAGGTAGTATAAGACAGAAATAAACATGCAACATACTCAAGTAATTACTTAAAATTAATGTAAGCAAATGAGATGTGCTTCACCAGACTCACCAGTGCAGTTCTGATTGAAAATGTGGCAATATTGTCACCATCCAGCCTCATGATGATCAAGTTTTTTTATTTGTTGTTGTTTTCTCCTGCAGGAAACACATGGAGGAGTACAAAGAAACCTGTAAAGATGGGGTGAACGGCTTTCAAAAAGCGGTAGATAGTTTGATTGACAAGCTTGTGCGAGACCTGGAGGATCAGTTTAAAGAAGATGTCAAGGTACGGCAATCTAGTGAATCATATGTTGTACAGGATATAAAACTGAGGAAAAGGAACCTTCCCATTTAACTTTTTTTTGTTATTTCCTTCCTCTTTGGAGCTACAGTAAAACAGGCCACCCAAACACATGAGATATCAACAAAAAGCCCAGAATCTCCTCTATTAAGTACATCAGGACTTAGTAGAATAGCTCACATAAGAAAAAAAATAACAGATGTCCATTACAGAGGACTGGTTCTCAAGAGGATATTAAGTGAAATCCCTGTTCTGGTCCTCACTGATTCATTTCTTCACAGGGACAAACATTATCTTTTGTGGTTTCTAAAAGAGGAATTAAAAAGGAGATCCTCCTTTCTTGCAGTAATAGTCAAAAGCACTTAGGGAAAATTCACAGAGGAAGAAAAAAAAGGGCCAAACAGAGCAGCAGACAACACGCCAAGTTACACCAATATTTGGACAAAAGGATGAAGATGGTAACTTATCAGCTAGTTCACACTTTGCTAAATGCTAGTTATTTAGCAAAGTGTATCTGTGGCTGCAAGAAGGAGGAAAACCGGTAACTAAATGGTGCAGACAGCGCCACCTGGGGAGGGAGTTACACCCCAGGAGAGATTACAGTAACCAGTGCAAACGTTGTGGGCACACAGGCTCATTACTAACGAGCAGAGGCGTGGCAAATCAATTTCATAGAACAAAGTTTAGACAAAACTACAAATATACACCTGCAGAAAAGAAAACAGCAACTTAAGCAGCAGGGCTGGCAATACCGAACCATTAATTAAGACACTTTATTAACAAACATTAGTTAAAAGAACAAGGTTCAATACCAGCCAACACGACAGCAACAAAGCAACAACAAGGCTACAGGAAGACAGCAGCAGTGTGTAGGCCTGGAACAACAGAAAGAACCACCCTTTAACAGTTACACAGCTTAAACAATTGCCAGGGGAAATGAATCCAATCTATAATACTTAAAGACAGCCTGTGAATAACAGGAATGAGTGCACATTGCCAGGGACCAGGAGGAGGCCACAGCTGCTTCTTATAACCGGCCTCTGATTAACCCCTAAGAGAGGGGTGAATGTTCATGCTGCGTTTGCTGACACCATGCATGAACCAAACATCTCCTACCAAATCTAACCAACCGCATACTTATTATTCACAACTATACTAGATGCTATGAGTGTTTAGACCAAAAATGTTTGGTATTGTGGAAAGTTTTAGTATATTCAAAGACACAAACTCATGCAGAATGACCCCCTAAGTAAGCGTAAGAGTACTTTCCTAAAATCTTTCTCCAGATGTTATGTCTTTAAAGTGGGAGGTAAATGCAGTGACTTTCTTGAAACATTCAAAGATACAAGGAAGTACGATATAAGCTAAATCCAGATGTTTGACTTACATGCTGTTCAGTTCTACAGTTGTACCATTCTAATCAGCTTGGAAGTCAATATCTGGTATGATTGCTGTTATTTTCAACACAGCCTGAACTCTCACTCTCACTGTTAGCCTTTAAAAAGTCTTCAGGAATAGTTTTACAGACTTCTTGAACAATACTTAAATGCTCTTTAAGATGTTGACTTATCTTTGGTATTTTTTAACTAAAACTAAAGTGCAGACAGTTGCCTTTTTGTGTTCCTTTCTAAGTTGTTTGTTACGTGTAGCCAAACCATGGTTCATTCCTTGAGTTAGGTTTCTTTTTTATGCTTGAATGATTCATAGGTCAGTGTTAAGAGGCTCGAGGACTGGACTGAAAATGAGGGAAAACACAGATAATGGCCAAAGAAAAAGACTTTCTGAAAGCGTGAAGAAATGATACTTAATACTAGTCTGGCTCCTTCAAAACAAAATTTTGGACTTTTGCACATTACTTTGTCTGTGAAGGTTCTCAGTCATCCAGGTCATCGTAGTCTAAGGAGCTTGGAAAGAAAAGCGTCTGGGCTTCCTTAAGTTGCTTGAAGACGTTTCACCTCTCATCCGAGAAGCTTCTTCAGTTCTAGGGTCAAATGGTGGAGAGTCCCAGATGGTCGCTCACAGTGGACATAAATGGCCTCTTTTACTCGTCTTTCAAACCATCTGTCCTCTTTTTCCAAAATATGAACATTGGCATCCTTGAAAGAGTGGCTTTTGTCCTTTGAGGATTCCACCTGCCCTCAGAAAATCACATGGTATGCTGGGGTTAGGTTTCACAATGAGCTCCCCCGAAACCTTGGCTGATTGTGACCTACACATGAGCCACACCTTGGCTCATGTTATTAGTTAGTGGATCATTACGGGGTCCATCATCCTCTTGGGGGGATACTCCCACAGGGCTTAAATCTGGGACTCTCCACCATTTGACCCTAGAACAGAAGAAGCTTCTCAGATGAGAGGTGAAACGTCTTCAAGCAACTTAAAGAAGTCCAGACGCTTTTCTTTCCAAGCTCCTTAGATTGCACATTATTTTAGATTTTGCGATGATGATAAATACGCATATAAGTAGGCTTTGAGAGGAGGTAGTTCCATTAACTGCTTCTCATTCAATATATTCCTTTTAATATGAGGTTTGAGGTTTGTTTGTTTTTTTACTTTTAGCCTATTTAGTAGAATAATCAGGTGTTAACTTCAAATGTGACTTTTTATAATCTGTCGTGAGTAAACCCTCAAAGGCATTGTGTGATTAATGGCTGGGTTATTTGTTGTTTTTCCAGTCTTACTTAAGGAGAATGATGACAAGGAAATGGCTCACCAACGATGAAGACTTTGATCAACTCTACAGCCGGACAAAGCTGCTTTCCCAGCACTGCAGTCTCATGATGCCACCACAAGCCAAGGTGAGTAGGAGGAGATGGCCTGGAAAAAAGTCAACAGGGGCAGTCCAGAGTTGACCAACTACTTTATAAAACTTAACAGCCAAATGTTTTTACTTACAGTACAGGAAAGGCCCGCTGCTTGGAATAAAGACAGGTTGCCTGCCAAAGTAAAGTCCCTTGCTAAGGCTAAGGATTTTCTGGCATTTGTCCCAGTCTGATTAGACAGTTACCATGAAGGGAATTACCTTCAACAGAAGTTTTTATGGTAATTATGGTTTTATTTGTAGGATATTAAGTGATTTAAATAGGAACAAAAGATGCAGAATATCATCTAATATCTATTGCACTTAGACGTTTTTTTAATGCTTACTATGAAATCGGGAAGTCCTGTTTATTTTAGATCGATTGTCTCGGAAGTTCCAGTTAATACATTTTGCTGTCCCATTGTTTTTCTCCGGATGCTGCAAGAGCAGAAAAAAAAAACTGTGAGTGTCATGAATCCTAACAGGAAAGAATGAATAGGTAGATTAAAAGGTGTCAGTTCAGATGAATTGAACCCTGGTGGTCACGATGCATTATCACCTCCAAACTAACATTTCCCGTTTTTTGCGTCCATCCTGTTATGCCGCCACCTAACTCCCTCTTTCTGTGTGTGTGTATGTGTGTTTGTGACTCTGTTACCCTGGAGACAGGCGTTTGCAAGCAAACTGCACTACCATGTGGTGATAGAATACATCGGTCAGCTGATGAAGAGTAACTACTCGTGCAAAAATCGGAAACACGAGAAGGCCGCGACCAAGATCCGTCATCAGTGGAATAAACTCAGTGAGCTATTTGAGGACATGGTAATTAAGTCATCACTTCCCTATCAACACTAAAAGCAAATAAAAAGTAAAATACAAATTAATTGCTGTAGGTATTTGTAAGTACATGTCATGATTCAGTAAACCTTCAAACTACTTTGAATTTTAAACAGGTTTAATGAACAGGTGGAACGTTTCTAATTATTTTTAGCCAAGTAATCTAAACACTTTTAACCTCCTAAGACCTGAACTCTTTCATGGCATGCATTTGTAATTTCTCTTTGCTATTTGGGACCTGATGAATGTAAAAACAAAGAATGATGTCTAAATGGTCCTTTATTTTCATTTCACATAATATGCATCCTCTTTTGCTTTAAAATGCAAAATACCGGCCTGATCTTTGGTCCACAGATCCTTCGTTCATGTTAAAAGCAGTATAAGTGTATGTATAAGTGGCGTATTTGCCTTTGATGGCTGGTCACATTCCTCTCAATGAGCAGCATAACAGGAAATCCTCTGCTGTGCAGCCCCTTTATTTGTGTAGTCATGTGTTTTATTCAAAATTCAAAGGATATTCAAGGTCAGCAGCAACTCCATCAGTTTTTAATGTTTTGATATTTTTTGTCTTTTACAGAAGTCGAATAATGAGTGGCTCTACCATGTAGGAGACGACTTGAGCAACATCATTGGACAGAAAAACACATCAGACATCAAGAACCATCTGCAGCCTGTAATAGAGAATTACCCAGACTTCAGGTAAGCATTTCTGCCAAATGCAACATGACGATTCACTAAAAATAAACCAGGAAAAATCCCGTTCTACCCTCTCTTAGTCTTTAGGATGCAGGCAGATTAGGGTTTTCCCATAATCCACTAGGTGACAGATAAGGAACGCTTAGGCTGGACTGGTTTCTAGCCTTTTACAGATTTGGTGTGTACAATTTAGGCCAGGTTTCTACAAAATAACCCTGTTTTATGCCAACAGTTATATCTGAATATAGAGAGCAGTGTTTTCTGCTCTGACATTTACCAAAATTTGGCTCCAGTGCTTGTTGCAGTTGAGCATTATTAAAATTTTCCTTTACTGAGCTTTGTTAATATTGTACAAATCAACAGAAACAAAAGGACATCGCTGTTTGTCTTGGATTAATATTTAGCTGTTAGAGAGGCGTTAAAGTAGGATTTGGTGGAAGAGGAAATCCTAAAATTGGGTGCTTTGCAAGGGCAAAAGAATTGCTCAGTAATAAGTTACATAATAGCTTATTTTGTGAGTGCCGGTACATTTTTCTTTGTGTACAGGCTGTGATCAGCTGACCTGTGCTGCTTCTTTGATGGTGGTGGCAACCCCCAATCCTACTCAAGTAAATAAAAGTGAAGTAAAGTGTTTGGAAAAATGTACTTCTAAAAGTACTTTTGTTGCACCATGTTCATTCATTCAAGAGCTGCTGTAGCATGAGTCAAATGGATAAACTGCATGTCAGCACCTCAGCATGCAGTCGAGTTCTATAGTCTTACTAATGACCTACTAATTTCATTCACATGTGTTGCAGCAGGGACACATAGAAAGGTTTCAGGACACTGGCCCTCGAAGACACCTGGGATGTAACCTAACATTGACCACGAACA